TCTTCTGGGTCATAGGAACATGGGCAATGTGAAATTAGCAGGTATTAAAACAAATATTTGCTTTAATTTATATTAGCCTCCCAGAGCAACAGAATACATTTTTACAGGCCTGACAGTGGCCTGCAGGCCCTGCGGCACCATTCTCCACATTGTTCTGAGGCTCGCTGCTGTGGCTGAGGCACTGGTTACTAAATCTAGAAACTGTAATGCCTAACAAGGTGTCAGTTGCTATCCTTCAGCAAGGGCTTGGCATAACGCACCAGGAGGTGGTTTCTTCCATACGGAAAGGGACAGTAGAGCACATTTTGGCAAAATCCAATTTGTCACATGTGATATTGATGTCATCAGCAAACTTGATAGCTTTATTACTTTTTATCAATGCCAAGTCTGGGCCTAGCAATCATATATTTATTAATTGTTTCTATTTGAGGCCATAACATCAAAGTTTCAGAAGCTGATCCTGAAGAAATAGGCAAATAAAAAGTCACATGACTGGCCATCAACCTTGGCATCAGTCACATTTCTCTTCTATGACTATGACATCTCTCTGCATTGTTCACTGGACTTCAGTGGAGTCCTATAGGAGTCCAGTGGAAGATAGACACTCCACTCCAGTAGACTCCAGTGAACTCCAGTAGACTTTGAGTGGTGACTCCAGTGGACTCCAGTGAACTCCACTGGAGTCCAGTAGGCACTTTTAGCTGGTGTTCCTGCTAATAGATTTCTACCAGACTCCACTGGAGTCCACTGGAGTCCTATAGGGATATGTGGGGGAGTGTAAAGACCTCGATTTTCATGACTTCAGAACTTCTCTAACATAATTCTTCCAGTAGACAGTAATGAACTTATGACTGGTATAGTGATCAGGATTTCCCAGAAGATATAATGCAGCCATTGGACTTCTAATTTCCATCTTGGCAGTAAATCCATTTGCCATTTGAGTCACTAGCTTACATGCTTTTTCTACTTGAGTTAATGAGCTGCTCAACATTTCACTATTTTTTGTAAAGATGGTTCTTACAACATCAAAGATGCTATAAATCTTCAAGCCTGGCTTGGTCACATAGTCAGATATATAAGCCACAATAGCTTTAATAGCAGTACCTGATAAAAGACTAGTAACATCTGTATTACACTGTAGAAGATAGGTTACAACTGGAGTCAATGTATTAATCCAAGCCTCTCCTTTCTTGATATTAAGTGCTCCAGTCTTGGGATCTACTTCAGTCTGATCATAGGTCTGTCTTGGAAACTGGGCTTTACAGTTTCCATGTTTATTTATACAGCCTGGTTGAGTCTTTTTAGCTGCCTTCTCATCTGAATTCTGGTCTTGACAAGTATGAACATTAGAGCAGAAAATAAGATCATCAACTGTAGTCTTGAATTTTGACCACCAAGTCTCAAGCTCAGCACAGTTGCAACAAGTTCCTTCACATGACAAGTCTTTACATTCTGGTGGTGGTGGAACAGGCAGTGTCTGAGTTGGATCTTGATAATCTTTATTCATTTTAACAGTCTCAATATTTTCTTTGACTTCATCTTTGGATCCTGTAAGAAATTCTCCCACATGAACACTCTCTAAATACTCAACAATTTTCTTCTGAAAGTCTGAATTTGGGTCCATGATTTTATCATGAATTTCCTGAGGTGATAGAGCACTTTTAATCCAGATAAGCATATGCATATGAAGAGTAAGTCGACCCTGCTGCTCAACTGTACTATAGTAGGCATCAGTATTACTATATATTCCAGAATGTTTGGCTTCAACTCCAAGTATTATGCTTGATAAATAGCTGACAGATAAATGATGCTGGATGGATGGACCAGTCACTCAATGGACTTGATGAAGTTGACAAAACACCTGTTGAGCCAGAAGTAATTCAGAAAGGGTCCAGATGGAAAGCTACTGTTGATGAAGAAAGACAGAAGCTTCTGGCTGAGAGAGGAAAGACTATCTCAAAGTCTGCTCAAAAATCATCAGACTCAAATGAAAATAATGTCCAAGTGGTTGACCAGTCATATCTTTTCAAATCCTTCAAAGCACAACACAAGTCTGATCAGAAACTGATTGATGATACTGTTTATAAAATTTCACTGAATAATGAGCAAGAGCAAGCCTTTAGAATAGTTGCTAATCATGCTGTAGAGCCTAAATATGGACAGTTGAAAATATACTTGGATAGTATAGGTGGAACTGGAAAATCACAAGTCATCAAAGCCTTGGTGGATTTTTTAAGTCAAAAAATCAGTCACATCGGATAGTTGTTCTTGGTCCAACTGGTACTTCTGCAGCTCTTATTAATGGGTCTACCTATCACTCATTTTTGGGAATTAATCCTGGTGGAAACACAGCCTCAAAAATTGCCCAACTTCAGGCTTGACTTGAAGGTGTTGAGTATATATTTATTGATGAAGTCTCAATGATGTCTTGTATGGATATTTATAAGATTTCTGCCCAGTTAGCCAAAGCTTTGAATGCATTTGATTTGCCTTTTGGAGGAATGAATATTATTTTTGCTGGTGACTTTGCTCAATTGCCTCCAGTTGGTGGACAATCTTTGTTTAGTGAATATGTTGGAACTCAGATACATTCTGGACTAACACCAGATCATCAGAAGGCTGCTATTGGAAAGGCTTTATGGCATCAGGTTACTACTATAGTAATACTTCAACAGAATATGAGACAGACTAGTCAAACTCCACAAGATGCAGCTTTGCAAACTGCCTTAATTAATATGCAATATGGTAAATGTACATCAGCTGATATTGCATTTCTGAGAACTCTACAGGCTGGAAAGCAACTAGAACAGCCCAAAGTATCTGCCAAAGAATTCAGAAATGTTGCTGTTATATGTGGTTGTCATACAGAGAAGGATCAGATCAATCAACTTGGATGTCAGAGATTTGCAGAAGAGACTGGCCAAAGACTTACACATTTCTATTCAATTGACAAGTGGGGCAAGGAGAAAGATCCAAGTACAAAGACCAAGTGGGGTCAGTCAAAAGCTGCTTCCAAGTCTAAACACATTTCTAATGAGATTGATCCAGATATGCAGCAAAATATATGGAAACTTAGACCTGGAGTTACAGACAACTTTGCTGGCAAATTATCTTTGTGTCTTGGCATGCCTGTTATGATTAGAAATAATGATGCAACTGAACTCTGTATTACCAAAGGTCAAGAAGGCTTTGTAGCTGGCTGGCAAGCAGAGAAAGGACCCCATGGCAAGCAAGTTCTTGATACACATTTTGTAAAATTGGATAAACCTGCAAAAACTATTCAACTTCCAGGACTTCCTGAAAATGTAGTACCATTAATGAGAGCTACTAAAACTATTCCTTGTAAATTCCCAAGTGATATTATTGAGAGTATTGAGCATCAGCAAGTACAAGTTTTGCCCAACTTTGCAATGACTGACTATGCAAGTCAAGGAAAAACTTGACCATATAATGTTGTTTATCTTGGAAGCTGCTATTCACACATGTCATACTACACCTGTCTGTCAAGGAGTGCTACTGCTGCTGGAACTATCATTCTTCAAAGATTTATGCCCAAGTTTATTACTCAAGGTTGTTCAGGATATCTCAGACAGGAATTCTGTGAGCATGAAGTACTTGATGAAGTGACTAGACTCAGATATGAAGGTCTTCTGCCAGCTTATATTGAAGGCTATACTTGCAATACAATTATTAGACAATTCCAAAGGTGGAAAGGAGCTAACTATGTTCCAGATAAAGTTGATTCAGCTCTTCAATGGTCTGATCAGGATCCTCTTGATATGCCAGTTGTAACTGATAGTCCTTGGACTTTAATTGACAAGTCAACAAAATTAAAGTTGCTTCAGACAATTCCTGTAACTAATTTTGTACCTGCTAAAGGGAGCACTGCTTTAAAGTGTAAAGCCAGTGAGAGTAATATTTCTAAGCCAAAGAAATCCAGACAAATTATTGAAGAAAATAGCAACTCACCTCAAGGATTTATCTGGGATAATCAAGATTATAGCTGTCCATATGATAGTTTATTTAGCATTCTCTATAATCTCTGGCTTGAAAATTCTGATGAATGGACTGAGAAATTATCAAGCATTAATGACTATACAAAGCTACTTATAGAAGGCGTTCAAGATGTTGTTCATAGTAATTCTACTCTAGAAGAGGCCAGAGACAGAGTATGAGAAGAGTTGTATTTTGTAAAGCCAGATAAATTTCCAAAGGGTAGAAATAATGCAAGTGTAGCTGAACTTGCCTTTGAATTATTTAAGACTGATAGTGAAGATGCACAAGTAGAAAAATTCTGTAATAATTGTGACTATACTAGAATCTTTTCTGATACTATTGAATATGCTGCCAATCTTGAAGGATATCAAGTCTCATCAACTCAACATTGGATTTCAGATATAAAAGAAAGTTGTCAAGAGACTTGTCCTGAGTGTAGTGAGACTTTGATATACCAGAAAACTTATACTAAGATACCAAAAATATTAGTTCTTGAGTATCCATTCTGTAACATTAGAACAAGTCATAAGATAAAAATCAAAGTTAATAGAAAGACACATGTACTAAAATTAAAGGGAATAGTTTATCATGGTGATAATCATTTTGTGTCAAGAATTGTAGGCAATGATGGAACAATCTGGTTTAATGATGGCATGACTACTGGTAGACAATGTACAGAAGATGGGCACTTGACAACTATTACTGATACATCAGTTAGAACATATAATGATAAGAATTTTGTATTAGCAGTCTATGCTTAATTCAATAGCTATAAGGGGTGGTGGGTGGGCATAATTTCATAGAATATTTCTGTAACTAATTACTTGCTATACAAAATTAATCTATATCAATATTAATTATATTTCAACTAAAGTTACAAGAAGAAAGAAGGCCTCATACATGCCATGCATAGCAATGGCCCACTAAAACAAGTCATCCATATCATGGCAAGGCTGATCGCCATTGCAAATAGCCTCACAGGGAGGTAACTTGCGCTGTTTGACCTATGCCATCAGGTCCCATGGGCGCTTGCGAGAAGTAGCGATCTCCGCAATGCGTTCATCAAAGAAATCATGCTTGGTGTTCTTGCATGCCTTTTTGAACTTGTTGTAGTCAGCAAGCGAGCGGCTCAACTAATATACTCCAAATGTCTCCGAGCACTCATCTGTCCACCAGGACTTGGAGTGCTTGGTAGGTTTGGACTCAGTCGAGTGGACAAGCCATGTGTCTGAGAATGCTGTTGCAATAGCATCTGCCAAAGCTTTGACGCCTTCCTTGGTAGCCAGGGCTGCGACAGGAATAGCCACAAGATCCCAGAGAATGTCCGAAATGAAAGACTTCTCAGCCTCGCTTCTGGGTTTAATTATCTGTCACCCAGATCCAGGCGGTTTGGGTCCAATATCAAGATCCACACAGATCAGGACATGATCTGATGGACCCTGGAGATCGTGCTCCAATCTGGGCATCGAGATTAAGATCTCAGATGGAGCTAAGAAGACAAAATCCAAACATTGGATCTCTGGTATGGATTAGGACTGATCCTTGTTGGTCCATGATTAGAAGGTTGTGCCCACTTGAGGCTGATCTGAGATGTGGTGTTCTGCAGGGAAATAGCCGTCGACGACTCGCCATGATCGTAATCATCCCAAGTTGTTGAAATGCAGTTGAAGTCGCCTGCCATGTAAATGAAGGGCGGAAGGGAGTGCACACGAGCAGCGAGGTGCTCAATAGTGGTGTGCTGATCATCTGAATAGATGTTCATAAGATTAAGAACCTCGCCCCCACTAAAGAGGGAGAGGACGAGAATGTTGCGACGCATGGCAGGACGATAGTGGGAGAGCCTAGTCGAAATGTAGGCGATCATGTGGGGAACTTCCCCTTCCTTAATGCACACCATCTGCAACCAGTCTGGATGCTTAGGTGCGCCAATAACTGCATCGCCCTCCATATTTGTGGTGGATGGTGCGTGCCATATGAAATTCCAGGGTGTTTCTTGGAAGAATAGAATATCAAATTTTGTTTTACAAAGTTCGAGGAGGGTGTCTACATGCGCATAGATATGACAAACATTCTGACAGTAAATATGTAGCCCACTACTTAGATCCTGAGGGTTTCCCAACATTGGTCTAGGTTCGAGGGTTAGTAAGTTGGTGGCGAGCGGCATGCTCATGTACCTGATGATATTTGGCCATGATCCACTCACGGGCGTAGCGATGGGCCCAGAACTTGCACAAGGCCGAGTTGGTGGTGTGGTCCTTGTGGCAATTGACACAGCGGCCCTTGTGGGGGCAAGGCTGGTCGCGAGGGGTGGGCAGCACAGGGGGTTTTGCTTTCGTGTTCCCCTTGCAACATCCTGCATGTTGACGATGCTCCTTCTGCTCATGCAGACCTGAGCAGATGGGGCAGCTGAGCTGCTTTGCCTTGCAGGCGACGGTGGGATGGCCCCACTTCCAGCAATGCTGGCAGAGTGGGACCCTGGTATGATGTGTGGCAGGCCTGATGGAACAGGATCGCCATGCAGCCATGTCAGGTATAATTCTATATCAGACCCAGCATTTAGCCAGTGTGATCTCATAAGTCCAGAGTGTGTTTGAGCAGTCAGGGTCTCGTAGGCTGCTGGGGTGAGTTTGCCGGTGGGGCTATAGGGATTTGTTGGGAGGGGGTAAATAAATGACCAAACAACCCTCCCGGGGGTGGGGCAGGGGTAGGGTAGGCCTGTAGGGGGCAGGAGGGGTGGGAAATGCATGGGAAATGCATCCAAAACAGGCAGGGATGGTGGGGCATGTATAATAGGGGCTAGTGGGATGGTGCAGTGGGTTCTGGATGTGGTGGGGGCCTAAAAATGGGTTGGGCAGGGCTAGATATGCATGCTAATAATTGTCATGGCCCCCACGGGGTGCGGGATGGGCTGGGGGAGCCAAAAATGCCAAAAATCCAGAGACTTTTGCATTTTTAATACAAAACAATTGAATAACAAATTGAAAACTTGATATTTCAGCATGAAACTTTGGGGACCTTTGTATCTATAGTGGAGGGTGCTTCATGAATATTTTGAGTATTTATCATGAATTGTGGGGCGCACAGGAATAGTGTGCATGGTGGGGTTTGATGTGCTTTGCCAAATTTGGCAATATTGTGATGCCTGCACATCCGTGCATAATTCCGGCTCACCCTCGCATTATTTCACTTAGCTTTGGCTGAGCGAAATGTTGGGTACATTGATACCTTCCTGTAGACCTTCTTATCACATGAAACGGATGAAACCTCGTTGGGATATGACAAATGCGATTTTGGCTACTACAATGCATGGTGCACCCATGCATCCTTGGGCGTGTTTAGGGCCATCTAACTTGGCCAGATTTAAAATAGGTACCTCGGACTTGTTCAAAAATTACCAAACTTTGTATGAGGACCTATTAACACTCTGAAGAGATTGCAAAAGACCAGATGAGATTCCGAGCAGTAGGTGGAAAGATATGTGAAAGGGTATCAGAATGACAGCAAGAGCATCAACATCCTGTTGCAACTTTGTGTTGCATCTGGTGCTTTGGGACTTCATTTTGCATATCTTTCCACCTACTGCTCGGAATCTCATCTGGTCTTTTGCAATCTCTTCAGAGTGTTAATAGGTCCTCATACAAAGTTTGGTAATTTTTGAACAAGTCCGAGGTACCTATTTTAAATCTGGCCAAGTTAGATGGCCCTAAACACGCCCAAGGATGCATGGGTGCACCATGCATTGTAGTAGCCAAAATCGCATTTGTCATATCCCAACGAGGTTTCATCCGTTTCATGTGATAAGAAGGTCTACAGGAAGGTATCAATGTACCCAACATTTCGCTCAGCCAAAGCTAAGTGAAATAATGCGAGGGTGAGCCGGAATTATGCACGGATGTGCAGGCATCACAATATTGCCAAATTTGGCAAAGCACATCAAACCCCACCATGCACACTATTCCTGTGCGCCCCACAATTCATGATAAATACTCAAAATATTCATGAAGCACCCTCCACTATAGATACAAAGGTCCCCAAAGTTTCATGCCGAAATATCAAGTTTTCAATTTGTTATTCAATTGTTTTGTATTAAAAATGCAAAAGTCTCTGGATTTTTGGCATTTTTGGCTCGCCCATCCTGCAGCGGGGCGCATC